CCGGTGATCAAACTCAGGTCCTTGCACTTGCGAGGTAGGCACAGCATCACTGAGCTAAATCCCCAGCCTGTAAGCCTTTTTGAATCTTTAGCATGGCAGTGGATTATTGATCAAAGCCTCTGTTTACTAGGGAAAGAATAAAGGAGATAATCAACAGTTATTCAACTGTACATGGTTAAATATAATAATCTAACTCCTATGAAGACACTATCTGATTGCTATCTATATGGAACAAATGACAGGTTCAGTTTGTTGTCTCTGTTAATGCTTCTTACAACGTTACTCCATTCTGCTGAAACCAGTGGCCCATGATCCTAGTTGCACAACAGAGTAATCTAGGGAGCACCTTGAAAGATCAATATCTGTGTCTACCTCCAGACTTGCTGAGTCCAAACATCTGAGTTGAGCTGTCCCTGGCTCCTGCCAGTATGCACTGGAATATATCACCAGGAACACACCATCTACTAACTTCATTCTTGGTGCTGGGGATTTAATTTAGCTCAGTGATTCTACCACCTGCCTCACAAGCACAAGGACCCAAATTTGATTCCCGGTACCAAAAAAATTTTTTTTACTTACTTCACCCTTTCACTATTCTTTTATAAGACACTGTCTTAGCTATTAGGAAGTCTACAATCTAGTAGAAGAGATAGGTATGCAGGCAGCTATATTGAGGATAAAAGTGAACAAAGGCCAGGTTGACATCAGACAGTGGTTAAGAGTGCAGGCTTTGGCCACAATCCCTTTTTAACACCCACAAGAATAGCTACAAAAAGTTGACAAACATAAATGCCAGCAAAGATATAAAGTGACTGGAATTCTGGCCAATTGCTAGTGGAGTGTAAAATGATACAATGTCTTTGGAAACTCTGGCAGAATATTATAAAGCTAAATCTATTTCTATACTATGACTCATCAACTCTACACTATGTATTTAGCCTTAAGAAATAAAAACCATGTCAAAGAAAGGCTTGTGTAAGAATTTATAGCAGTTTTTTCCATAATAACCAAAGCCAGAAACAGTCTGAATATCTTTCAACAGGAAAATAGAAATATTTATTATTACTTATTTACACATAAAGTATCAGTCTACAGTAGAGAAGAAATGATACTAATACTGTGCAACGTGAGTGAATCTCAAGAAGAATATTTTAATGGAATAAAACATAAAAGAATATACATACAAACAGTCTATGGTGATAGACATTATAGAAATGCTTACATCCAGTTTTGAGGGCAAGGATTTGTGGGAAGAGGCATAAAAGAAGTTTCTAACTGTGACAGAAATATGTTATACCTCGATTAGAATGAAGGTTACAGTCTTATTAAAATTAACTGAATTTTACACTGAAGATCTACACATTTCTTTTCAAGCAAATTTTGTCTAAATTCTTAACAAATAGCATACATAAAATGAAAATAATTGATTCACTGTTTTAAAAAAAAGCATCCTTGGACCCAATTTTAATGGTTTTATAGAAAACAAATAAGAATATGTGACAGAAACTATGTGCAGCCCACAAAGTCTAAAATATTACTTTCTGAAACTTCTTAGGAAACATTTGTTGGCCTTTGCTGTAGTTGTATAAAAGAATACCTTTATTCTTAGGGAAGATACACTGAATTATTGAGGAGTGATGGCCTTAACACATAAAGCTTTGTTTCCTTTCAGAAAAAAAATTGATTAGTAGACAGGTAGGTAGAGATGAGATAGTAAAGCAAAGGGCAAATTGGGTAAAGTTTTAATGGATTAATTAGGATCGAGTATGAGTGTTTTGTGGTATTCTTATTCTGGCAGTTTTAAAAAGTTTGACATTTCTGTAATTAGATTTTGAGAATTACATTTTTGTCCTCTAATTTTACAAATCTCTTAAACATCAGTAACGTATCCTTTGAAATACTTGATTTCAAATTATACTGCACAATTATAGTAACATAAACAGAATGGTACTTGCACAAAAATAGACATGTAGATCAGGGAACATAATAAAAGACACAGAAATAAACCCATTAGACTACAGCTATCTGATTCTTCACAAAAGGACCAAAAACATGCTGGAGATAAAATAGTCTTTTCAACAAGTGATGCTGGAAAACTGAATGTCCACATATAAAAACAGAAACAAGATAGATTTCTACCTCTTATGCTGCACAAAAACCAATTCAAAATAGATCGAAGAACCAAATATAAGACTAGTAACTTTGAAAAGTCTAGAAGAAAACATAGGTGAGACACTTGGAGTCACAGACACCAGCAAAGACTTGCATTTAGAACTCCAATAGAATAGAAAATAATAAGATTTGAAAATTGGGATAACAATAAATTAAAAGGTTACTTCATAACCAGTGAATCAGTCAACAGAGTGAAGAGGCAGCCTACAGAATGGGAGGCAATCTTTGCCAGCTACTCTTCCAACAGAAGATTAATATTGAAAGCAGATAAAGAACTCAAAACTTAATACCACACAAACAGCCCAATGAACAAATGGGTAAATGCCTTGAACAGACACTTTACAAAAGAAGAAATACAAATGGTCAAAAGGCTATAAAAAATGTTCAACATCATTAGGTAAATGCAAGTCAAAACTACAATTAGATTTTAATTCATCACAGTCAAAATGGCTATCATCAAGAAGACCAAAAAAAAAGTGCTAATAAGGATGCTGGGGGAAAGGAACCCTTCTGCACTGTTAATAGGAATATAAATTACTATGGCCATTATGGAAATCAATATGGATGTTCCTCAAAAAAATAAAATATGCTCTACCATATGACCCAGCTGTACCAATACTTAGGATATATCCAAAGGAATTAGCATCCTTTAGGGTTACCGGCATACCCATGAATATTGCAGGATAATTCACAATAGCCAAGATATGGAGCCAGCTTGACATGCCTGTAAACAAATGAATGGATAAATTAAATGTGATATATACACAATGGAATATAGTCCTTCCATAAAGAAGAACAAAGTTTTTTTCTTTTGCAAGAAAATGGATGGAACTGGGGATTGTCATGCTAAGTAAAATAAGCCAGAATCAGAAAGACAGAATCAGAAACGTGATTTCCCTAATATGTGGAATCTTAAAAAAAAAAACTGTGTGAAAATAAAAAAGAGACTTAGACAAGAGGAAGATAAACAGAAAGGGAGAGGAGTATAAAAAAGAATAATAGGAAGAATGATCAAAATATGTTACATGCACGTATGAAAACACCACATTGAAGCCAAATATTTTGTGTAATTATTAGACCCAATAAGAAACATTTTAAAAACTGAATAAAATTGAAAAAAACAATTATTCTTCATGCCCACCCTTTGTACTTCTATAAAATAGATCATAGTTATCACCTACATCTTTATAATAAATGTTAGCTGTGATTATTTTGTACAAGCAACTCACACTTAGTGAGAATTTAGTTCATGGTAGATGCTGATATAATGATATAATATATTTATTTATTTAGTCCTGTGGAAAATCCCATGT